TAGTCTCTTCTCACATAAGGAGAGTGATCGAGATGGCCACCTACCATATATAGCCTAAGAGTAATTCAAACATATTGAGAATCCTACTTCTGTCATAGAAGATATATTATATGATTTATATCTACTAAATTATATTAATGTCTTAACATTTTATGAAAAAAGTATCATTTGTAATATATAAGTCACACAATAAAAATGATCATCTTAAATACTTTCCAAACGAGTCTTTTTAGATCTACCTCCATATTTCTTAACATAGATCAGCTCTAAACCATCTACTCTCCTATAAATTTTTATTAAATGTATCAAAAAAAAAAAAAAAAAACCCATCTAAAAAAAAATTTTTTTAAAAATTTAAAACTCATCTAAAAAGAATATTTTATCAAATATTAAAAGAGGGTATAACGTTATATATATATTCAACAGATTATTTTATACTATTAATTAAATACTAAAGTTCTGTTTGGCTCTATCACCTACCACAGAGATGATTGATGTGATTTCTTTTTAAATGTAACTTTCTTTGATAAATAACTTCTCATTTTCTTAAAAAATATTTTTCTTTTCCTAAAGAATATATAATTTATGAGAAAAATACTCCTCCAAATAAACTGGCAAAATATAGTTCTTATAACACGACAAAAACAAAAACAACAACATAGACTTTGATTGAAGCAAGCTTTTGAATATAGGAAAAGAAATCAGAGAAGCTTTTGGTTCACATAAAATCTCATTAAAAAAGAGAATGATGAAGAGTAGGGCTCAATTGGTGGCTAAGTGTCTTATTTAATTACCAAGCGGTCAAAGAGGAAAGCAAAAGAAAGGCCTTTCTGTTTCATTCTCCAGTAATATAAGATACTACTGTGCACCACTTGTGGCTCGTAAGTCTCTTCCATTAAAAAAGTTGTATCAGCCGACGTTAGCAAGCTTGTGTGGACACTCAAGTCTATAGTCAATTCTCTTACTTTTTCTCTTTAAAGTTGAGTGGAGATCCACACACACACACACACACACAGAGCGAGAGAGAGAGAGAGAGAGAGAGAGAGAGAGAGAGAGAGAGAGATTCATGATAGGAACGGTCCCCACTTAACCAAAAAAAGATCCTCAGATCTAACCTTATCAAAGGTTGATGGAGAAATGGAGGTCTGTATGATAATACTTTTTCCATGGCTTTATTTTTCTTACATTTTATGTTCACTGTATATATGCGGTATAGATGGAAAATTTTCATATTAAATTTGTGCCACTTTATAAAGTTTATGATAATATATAATTAGTTGATCAAGACTCAAACATATATAAGATCTATGGGTTGAAGATTTGACTACAAGGATGTAGGGACATGAAACACTGCAAGAATATGACCTTGATGTTGAGTGTTAGAATAGTTGTGGTGGCAGAGAGAAAGTTTATCAAGTCTGAATCATATGGAAATGAAGCTCATGCATAAATGAGTAGATCATTGGTCAAAAAATGATCAATAATTTTTTGTTCACATGATAAGTTATGAAAAGGAACTAGTTGAGATAATTTTATTATGTAGGTTGAATGTCGGGACAATATATATGGTCTTCTTTGTTGTTAGAGATGGCCGAACTAGAAGCAAAATGATAGGCATTGGCAAAAGTTGGGCGGTGAACGATGTAAGGTGATGGATATTGGCGACGTTTGATGATAGATCAAGATGAATGATGGATATTTGGGATAGTTGATGGTGGTCACTGATGATAGTTGAAGACAAATAATAGTTGACATCATTGTATGGAAGTCAACGTCGACAAATAGTTGCGAGGATCAATTAATGAGTGTTAAAAGATGTCAACAATGTGCGCCAATAGGGCCATGAGTAGTGGGTGTTAGCGATGAACATCAGTGGGCATCAATGATGGAAGTCATTAGGCATCTATGACGTATGTAAATAGACATCATCACTAAACATCGATGATAGATCTATGTTGGCGAGCATTGGTGGCAATCTACAATGAGTGATAGAAGCTAGCAAGCAGAGTGCTAGAACTCTTCAGGTCTACATATTATCTACTTCGTCAATCTTCTTGAATGTGTGAAGGTCCCATTTATATATTTTCCATAGGGTATTCTATTCATTTTAATAACTACAAATTAGGACACTCCATCAAATGGCTAGTATTGATCCCTTTGATTATTCAATATCTTTTATAAATCTAAGTATCTTATAATGATGTCATGATTTTTTTTTTCGTAAATGAAAATATGTTAATAAGCCCTTAAAAAGATCATGCTATTAAATCAACACACAAAAATTTAGTAAACCTAATATGCTCCAAGTTGAAGGTAGGCATGCTGCAACAACTAACACTAATGCAACAATAAATTGAAGTTACATATATGGATGTTTCTGACCTTAATTCATATCTGGATAAACAAAGATTTACGCAATCACATAGCTTCATGTGTCATTATACAAGTTTACTTAGTCCACTATCCCTTGTACAAATTCAAAAATAAAAATAATTATGCATTTATCTCTAATGACCTGAAAACTTATGTCATGATTGCGTGATCTTGAATTTGTCAAATTTTTCGTATTAATATGCTCATTTTGATTATGGGCATAAAAAATTTGAATGTAATTCAATGTCTTAAAATGATATTAATAAATTCCAAACTATACTATTGAGTGCTTGATTTAGATTTTTTAGACTTAGAGCAATACATTCTTAGTGATTTTAAATCTAAATATTGTCAAGATTTATGCTTGATTATAAGAATTTTTAGTGCATAATAGTGGTGAAACATGAAATATTACAATAAATCAAATAAGAAGAAGAACGATTGAATTTAAAGAGAGTGAAATAGAGAATCTTAATATGATGAGAGTAAAAATAGGGTATGCCAACATTTTGGTTACTACATAGACTTCATGCAAGGAACAACTAGGGAGGGTACATACTTGGATGTGTATGACAACACCTTATATATATGTCTTCATGCTTATAATTTTTAGGCAACATGATCCAAAAAATAAATTTGTATACTTGTAGCCATCGATAGATGAGCTAAAACTATTATGTATAGAAGGTGTGCTCATATATGATACCTTGAGAAAGAAAAATTTTCACATAAAAATAACACTCTTAAGGATAGTTGGTGATTTTTTAGCATATAACATATTTTCTAGTTGAAGAACAATGGGAAAGCTAGTTGCTTGTCATGTGTTTGTCATCAGAAAAGCTAACTGTTGATCATATATATTATCAAGAGTCATCAAAAGTATTGATGAAATTAAAATATTATGATAAATATATATGATTTAATTGTTATCAAATGTTGTTATCAATTAATCATCTATTTAGGATAAAATAAAGTTACATTTTTAAGGAATTGAATTATGAAATCAATCGCCTAACAAGATTTAGTGGATCATCCCAACAATCTATTTTTTTTACTATAGATTCAAGCACGTGAAGAAAAGAAGAGAAATGAAGCGTCCACATGCAACATCCTTTATTTAATGCACAATAGAAAAATCTGTCATTACCGTCGGGCGATCCAGCGGAAATATTTATGTCGGTAAAATAGACAGGTTTACCGGTAGAATATATGTCAGTAACTTAACAGCAAAATGTCCGGCACAATTTCCACCGCTGAAACACCTGCGCATATTCCGCCGGCTTTTTGTCGGTATTTTAAAGGATTCCAGCGCACATTCAGTCGGTAATTAACGGCGAAATTGCCGGCAAATATTGCACCGGCTTACTTAAACTCGACAAAACATTGCTAGCGTATTATCCGTCGGTAACATAACCGACGAATAATTCGTAGGAAAGACGCCGATATAGGCCCTATTTCGACATGTCCGCCGTTTGATTTCTCATTTCTATCGTGATCGAACCCTCTTCACTTTCTTTCCCTCTCAAGTCCGAGAGCTGCCCCGACCGAACCCTCTTTGCTCGCCATCCGAGAGCTGCCCTGACGCCGAGCATTTCTTTCCCTCTCTTCGATCGCGTCCAAGAGCTGCCCCTACCGAACCGAGCATATGCATCAACGCTATTCTCTCATTAATCAATTAAGTGATGCACACTTCTTCATTTCCCAATTATTATTTCTTCTTCAGTCTTCACAATTTCACATTCGCTTTAAAAGTTTCCACCTTAGTGGCGCACTCTTCTTCAATTTAATCGGCACCAATTTCATAAACACTATGTTGGTACTTCTTTAAATTTGATATCTTATTCTATTGTGGTAGCACATTAACAAATTTCTTTGAATCCATTATTCTTTCAAAATAAGGAATGTCCACTTTTAATCATGATGTTAAATGAAGATCTTCAAGTTCCGCCAAAGTAGATGTCGAACTAGCTCTTATTCACTAGAATCTTCTTGATAAAAGGGTTTATCCCTTCTTCAATCTACCTTATCACATCTATATTGTTCAAATGCACACTATTTTTTCTTTGCCTTAGCTATACAAAACATAGATGTAGTTGTTGAATTTCCCACTTAGCAAATTTTCGATCACATAATTTTGGACAAGATGTTGGCTATTTCTCCGAGGTGGAATGTTGGTAGCTTTGATACCAATTGACACCCAACTCATTACAAAGAAACAAAAGAATATACAATTCTTGATAGAAACCTCTACCTAAAGTCAAATTTCTTGATACATAATTGAGAAACAGTGATTAAATGCCTCTTTTTCATTATTGAGCCATCTAACTTCTTTTCTTATAATACAAATGAGTATTTATATTTAAAACTTATGTTTTGCTTGGAATAGCTTTCTTACAGTTTTATATTTAAAACTTATGTTTTGCTTGGGATAGCTTTCTTACGGTTTTATAAAGCAGCTTCATGAAACAGCTTTCTAGAACAAAATTTTCAAATTCAAGAATTTTTTTTACTATAAAACAGTTTCATGAAGCAGAAAGAAAGTCATCCCAATCATAAAACCTTAGTTCAACAAAGGATAATAAGTGAATATATATATATATATATATATATATATATATATAAGCACACTCCTCCTCCTCCTCCTCCTCCTACCCCTCCTCCTCGCCACCGCTCTCCACCTCGCCCGCCTCCGCACCCGACCCGACCCAGCCCGCCCCCTCCCCCTCGGCTCCCTCGGCTGGCCCTTTCTGGGCGAAACAATCGAATTCATCTCCGCCGCCTATTCCCCCCACCCTGAGTCTTTCATGAACCGCCGTCGCCTGTTGTACGTTCATCCTGAATCTAAAAAGAAAAAAAAAATCCAAATTTTGCTATTAAAACTTTTATAATTATGTAAAAAAAAAATCTTTTTTTTTTTCCCGCAGGTACGGTAATGTGTTCAAATCGCACATATTCGGCAGCCCCACCATCGTCTCCACCGACGCCGAAGTAAGCCGCTTCGTCCTCCAAAGCGACGCTCACGCCTTCGTCCCTTCATACCCCAAATCCGTCTCCGAGCTAATGGGCGAATCCTCCATCCTTCTAATAAACGGCTCCCTCCAGCGGCGCGTTCACGGCCTCATCGGCGCCTTCTTCAAATCCCCCCAGCTGAAGTCTCAAATCACCACCGACATGCAATTTTACGTCCGACGGTCTCTGGCCACCTGGCCCGACACGACCCAGCCCATTCTCATTCAGAACCAGACCAAACATGTCAGTTTCTCTCTCTTCCCCGCACGTGCTCACTTATTGCTGCTACAATCTTGACCCGGTTTTATTTCTCTCCCATCAGATTGTGTTCCAGATTCTCATCAAAGGGCTCATCGGCCTCGATCCGGGCGACGAAATGGATTTTCTCAAGAGCCAGTTCCAGGAATTTATTGCAGGATTAATGTCTCTTCCTGTCAAGTTCCCCGGAACCAGGCTTTACAAATCCCTCCAAGTAATTAAAAAAAATTTACTTAATTACACCCTTAATCATAATGTTAATCCCCCAAAAAAATTAATTAATTATTGCAGGCGAAGAAGAGGATGGTGATGCTTGTGAAGAAGATTATTGAGGAGAAGAGGAGAAGAAATGAGAGTCGGCGTGGGATAAGGCCGAACTCTAAGGACGTTATTGACGTGCTTATTAACGACACGAGTGGTCAGTTGAGCGACGACCTGATTTCGGACAACATGATCGACCTTATGATTCCGGCGGAGGACTCCGTGCCGCTGCTCGTTACTCTGGCTGTTAAGTACCTCGGCGAATGCCCTCTCGCTCTCCGGCAGCTCGAGGTACTGTAATTAGCACTAAATTGCTGTCGTAATTACGTTTGTTTTAATTAATTAGTAATTAAGTCTAATGATTAGTAAAAATTAATTAATTAATTACCAGCGGAATAAGGAGATGCCAAACGTTGGTTTGTGGCTTTGTTTCCCTTTTAGCTCTTGGCCAGTAGTCCAAGTTGAAAAAAAGAAGTATGGGGAATCAGTCAATAACCATAGAGTAAAAGTATTAGAGGTTATTACATGATGAATACATATTTTTCTTTAATAAATACTTTGTTTAGGTTACTAAATATAGTGATTATCTTATGATTATCATAATTATAAAAATTATTCATTAGAGATAAGTATATTTTGTCATTTATTCATATAGATTTGCAAGCAATTATATTGCCAATTTTGATATTATAAGGCATATTAAGTCAATTTTCTCTATCATTTTAAAGGGAATTTTAATCTTTTTTTTACATAATAATATAGATTAAACTTTGGGATTACATGTCATTTCCTTAATTAGTCAAGGTTTCATCTACTTATCAAATTGAGGTTAATAATCGCAGGAGGAGAACATGGAACTCAAGGAAAGGAAATCTCAACAAGGTCAAGATTTGGAGTGGAATGACTTCATGTCCTTATCATTTACACAAGATGTAAGTAAAGATAATGACAAAAAAATTTTCTTTCTGAATATTCTGATAAAAATTATAATAAGATCGTCTAGAGAACTGTTATATTTTATGATAATTTAATTTTATATAATAAAAATTTATCCAAAATCATTAAAAAAACTAATTTTTAGCAGGTCATTACTGAGACACTAAGACTAGGAAACATAATAGGAGGAATCATGCGCAAGGCTGTGAAGGATGTAGAGGTGAAGGGCCACTTCATTCCCAAGGGTTGGTGTGTCTTCACCTACTTCAGGTCAGTTCATCTCGACGAGGCCATCTACGAGGACCCCCTCAGCTTCAATCCATGGAGGTGGAAGGCACGTAATTTCACATTGCATTGCATGAATCAACTCACTTCTACTAGGTTTCGTTTGGAACAGCTTTAACTCTTTAGTAAAAACTTTCTTAAAAGCTGCAAAAAAATGATCAAAAGCTGTGTCAAACGAAACTTAGTTCTCCCATGTAATTCCAAAATTCTCTCATCTGAATTCTGTTGTTGATTGAAAGCTGCAGGAGAAGGACGTGAGTGCTTGCAACTTTACTCCTTTTGGAGGTGGGCAACGGCTATGTCCCGGGCTTGACCTAGCCAGGCTTGAAGCTTCCATCTTCCTACACCACTTTGTTACCAGCTTCACGTAAGGATTAATTACCATAGTCGCATTCAATTTTGATTCCTTTCACACATGTATCCACACATGCCATGCACGCACACGTGTTATCATAAACGTACTATATATCATAGCATTAATGGTGACCCATGCATGCATGGCATCATCCCATGCATGGTCAATAATAGAAGACTGGTGCATTGATATTGGGAATCTGATTCACCTTCCACTATACTCTTTATAGATACTAGACCACATGAATCAGTAGGTGCGTCTAGCATCATACATCAACATCAAGTACTTACTTGGCCTCACCCTATCCATGCACGTGTGAACGTACGTGCTAGCCATTTTTGGCTCTCACTGGTTGTAGATGCCCAAGCGTGCTAAACTGGTTCATTGACTCCATGTGGTTGGGCTTTCCGTTTTTTTCGCGAACATAAATGCCTGTCATGTTTCAACGAGTGAGACACCTAATTATTTTTGCTGCATAATGAGCATTAATTTGTGTGCATTTGTAGATAGGCTCTTAAATTTGATGAATTATTTTGTGCGGATGCCGAATGCCTTCAGAGCCTAATAAAAATGTGCCACGTCATTTCCTACTCGGTACCGCAGCTCGGTACATATCAAGCTCGGTATTGGATGACATGGCTGCACTTGATTCGTCTCTGGATTATAAGCTGTGTGTGGTGTCTGCACAAAATAATCTCTCCATAAATTTATAATATTTGGTGTGACTCACATGTGTGGATGTTTGAATGGTGACGTTGATAACAGGTGGGTGGCGGAGGAGGACCAGGTGGTGAACTTTCCGACCGTGAGGATGAAGAAAGGGATGCCCGTACGTGTCACGAGGAAGCAGGGAGCGTGCGAGAGGAGCTCGTCCATACGTGTGGAGTGCTAGACAAGGTGGCTAGGCCGGCTCGTACCAGCCATATGTGAATTATTATGTATAACTATATGAAAAGGAGCTGACTGTGGAGTTTAAGATGAGGGGGGCAGAGAGTTTGGTCAAAGGGATCCGACCCGCTTGACCCGAAAATTGTGGCGGTCAGCTTTTGGACTAATGATAGAGCTTCGAAATTTGTGAAGACTAAGTAAGCCGGTTAATTACGCACCCACGCGTGTGAATCTGATGGTCGCACGTGGGGCCCTTCTTGTCATGATCACTGAGAATCGTGTGGGGAGCTGGAGCATGCATGACCTGGAGGGCTTCTTTGGGAAGTGGTGGATATTGGAAGTCGGGGAAGTCACTTACAACGAAAATGTTTCTTGCATGGAGAAGTGGGGCCCTGCTGCCTGAGGGGAAGTGATATTTTGTAATGTTTTTGGGTTTTATGAGAATTTAAATAAGTGAGAATGTGAGTTGGTATGGATGTAAAATTGCAAGATTTTTTTTTTTTTTTGAGAAAATTATGAGCTGAACCTTTACAGAAGAAGAAAGAACATGTTAAATATTATGATTTATACGATTACTTATTTTAAAGAATTCTGCTCGAAACTCTTTGCTAGTGATACCTCTTATTTTTTTTGGAACCGTTAGGGATCGAACATGGGAGCTGGGGGAGGAATTTTTTCGCTCAACCACCGAGCTGCCCCGCTCATCCCATTGATATTTGAATGTGGATATTTCTTTCAAGTTTTGACTAAACTAAACCCACATGTCCATAACTTCTTCTTAAGGCCCTCCATTTCTCAAGCTTTAAATCACATCGATGGGCTTGCGGTTGATCGTAATCTGAAAGATGACATTCTCCTTACTCTTCATGCTACGATTTACCTCCTCTGGACCGAACGCAATAATAGAAGATTCAATGCTAAAGATGTTTGTGCTATCACACTATCAAAAAAGATTACTAGAGCAATTTATGAGTCCAGGCCAAACAGTGTTCTCTGTCTATTTTATTTTTCCTTTTCTTTCTTCTTTGGGATGTACATGCTTTCTTTTATATTTTGTGAAGCCTCAATTTTTTTGTTTATGGCTGATTTTTGGTTTTTCACTATACACCCTTATTCTTTTTATAGAATGGACTGAGCCCTTAATTTTTCACAATAATGATTTAGTGTGCAGAGATCATCAAAAGGAGATATTTTAATAAATATATAATTGTTATGTAGTTTAGAAGAAATCACAGGTGAATATTACTGCATGTTATTCATTCTTATATATAGTTCATTGTGTGTCATCCTTATAATATATATAAAACATAATGATTTTTATGAGTATATATCAACTATTAATTAAGTTAAGAGATGTATATAGCTTTGAATTTTTTAGTAAAGTTTTATAATTGTTATTTTTTATTTAAATACATAAAAAATTAGTACAATATAAATTTAGGATTTGTTTGAATTTTTTTTTTTTTTTGCATTGCTTTAAGATATTAATAATAATTTCAATTCGTTATTATTTTCATATTATTTTTTAATAAATTTTAAATAAAATTATATTTTTAATAAAATTATATTTTTAACTAAAGTAGCTAAATTAATTTTTTTACAATTATTTCATACTAGATTATATAAAATGTTAAAGTAATCCCAAATTGGCCTTTAATTTTTCCTTTTAGTTCATATTATTTAAGCCCATTTCTTCACTTCAAATTTGCAGACACATTGCATCAATCATAGCCATATGTAGACAAATGCAGCTTACTTTATGTACCATCCATTAAAAGTTCATTACTTAATCAAGAGCAAATCATTCATTATTGTCCTTATGAATTGTTTCATATTCAAATAAAATGTAATAAATTGAGAAATATTTTATTAAAATATATTATTTGCATAAATATAAAATTTGAGAGCTATTTTGACCAAATTAAATTACAAACTTTATACAAATTACATATGCAAAGTTTCAAAGCTACGTTTAACTTTTTTTTTTTTTTTTTTTTTGAGAATTGGGACTAACATTGATGATTTCAAATTTTATTTTTTATTAGAATTGTTATTATGAAAAAAATTATATGATAAAGAAAAATGTTATAATTAAGAGCATTAGCACTTCATATTCTCCAAATCTCCTTTTATGTCATCTATCAATTCAAAAGCTGCAACACTTAATTAGGTTAATAAATTGGTTTTTATAAATATGCAAATGTGTCTTACAAACTTTATATATATATATATATATATATATATATTCGGTCATTTCCATAACACTAATTTAATAGATCATTATTTTTTTTTTTGTTGAAATTACAGTATAAAATAAGTAAAATATATTAATAACATGCTATAAGTGAAGAAGAAAACTATTTTTTATTTGATTTGAAGTAAAATTAATTCGGTGTTAAGCCTAACGATGTAGAAATCAATTAGTAACGATGGTAGCTGGTGACCAAAATGGTGGTTGCAATAGCAAGCGACAAGCGGAATTTGGTGGTGATTGTGATGGCGGTTTGCAGGAGTTTTTTTTTTTGTTGAAATTACAGTATAAAATAAGTAAAATATATTAATAACATGCTATAAGTGAAGAAGAAAACTATTTTTTATTTGATTTGAAGTAAAATTAATTCGGTGTTAAGCCTAACGATGTAGAAATCAATTAGTAACGATGGTAGCTGGTGACCAAAATGGTGGTTGCAATAGCAAGCGACAAGCGGAATTTGGTGGTGATTGTGATGGCGGTTTGCAGGCGAGCAGTGCTTCACATAATCCATGTGTTCAGAATTTGCTCAAATCTAATAAATTCTAAGCACACTAAAAATTAATCAGATATATAATTCCGAATAAATTTTTCTTCCAACCAAACATCGATAATTTTAAAAAACTTCCATTTTATTTACCGCGCAGCCCCTAACAAATTAGACACTAATTATTGGTTATTTCATTGGAAAAATTTATCAAGATATTCTGAAATAATTTGTATCAAAATGAACTTGAAATTTGTTTTAAGATTAGTATTAGTTATATTGCACTAATTTTAAAGTAAATCAAATAATTCTACAGCACTATTTTATAGGATAATCTGACCCCTTTTTTTTCTATTTCATTTATTTAGTATTATATATAATGACAAGACGTTTTTAATGTAGTTATGAGTACATTAAGATGATCAACAGTATTAAAAGAGAAATCAATTGAGGATAAATCTTATTGGGCCGGGCTTCAAGAAAGTGACCATAACTGTAAGCTTTTGGGCCAGATGGAAAACCTCTTTTTAGCCGGCCGAATATAGCCCACTACTCTAACCAGCTTGTTTGCTGAAATATCACAACTGATAATATTCCAGACTTCCCTTTGCCAATTGAACTATAAAAGTACTTCCAAAAGTCATTTTGATTAAAATTTTTAAAATTAGTTTATGAATCACTATTTGAACTTTGATCAAGCACAAGGAAAAGACCTAAGGGATAGATGTTTTAGTTTACTTTTTTTTTTAGTATTTGATCTTAACACGATACACATTTTGTATTTGTTGATAATAGTTTTTCAGCTGATTTGATTTGAGCTTGATCTTGGGTTAACTTGGTGTTCCTTTGAGCCCACAGAGCCTTAATGATCGACAAAGGCCTTAGATGTTCATTTCGTTATACATATCTAGATCATATATGAAATTCCAGAGTGTGTTCTTATAAATTTTTGTAGGAAAATTATGAGGGATAGATGAATATTAAGTTGGATTTTTTTGAAATTATATTGATACTGATTTCCTAAGATATGACGAGGAGAGTTTCATGTTATATTGTTTACTTTCTCTGATGTAGCGTGTCATATTTTGATAGCTTCATTTTGCCATTGTATTACAGTTTTTTATTGATTTTTTTTTTTTGGAAAAGTAAAATATTACTTGCAACACAAAGCTTCTTCTTTTGCATGTTTTACTTTTAAGCCGTGTCATTATCTCTGATGTTTGTCATGTAAAAAAATGTGACTGTTTTTTAAATTTTGTATGACTAAATGTCTTAAAATTTAGTGATTATATTATTATTGTTTTTATAAAAATATATTATCAGAATATAATGGTGTATACTCGCATATGCCTTTCAGATATCTTACAGGTAGTCATGAGTAGGTCGTGATAATAATACTTTTACTTGGTAGGCCCCATAAATGAGCTCACCCAAGGATTATTATATTTAATTTGTAAGGAACCATAGAGGGGGTTGTTTCTCACTAGGACAATAAAAGGTTCTCCTAGATCAAGAGACTTGGCACTCACCTCATGATGGAAGATTAGGAATAAAAGCTACTCACCCTCACGAAGGATGAGTACCTTTTCATGCTCACTAATCTCAACTATATGAAAGCCCCTACTAACAGAGCTCTCAGCTTTCCCTACGACGACCATCTAACATTATCTAACCTTAAAAGTTGTATAACAAGCAAAAATATATCATTGTTGATGGATTCAAAGATAGTATAATTGTGAAGAATGACTCTTCTTATTCAATTTATTTACAGTTTTACCTTTACTTAGGCTATTTATATTCATCAATGTATTGTACTGTTTTATTGAGATAATAATATAATTTCCTTCCCCTGTTTCCGCTTTGTCCTCTTCAACCTTTCTTTCTCCCTCGGATCATCTTCTTTCATGGTATCATGAGCAGGAACCAACCCATGGTCGATCAAGAATCAGCAAATTCCCACCCTCCCACCTCTGCTGCTCTCTCTAGCGACTCGACCGCTGAACTCCACATTCTGGCACCACTCAAATTTCAAACATCTCAAATATCAAGAATCTCGTTCCGAATGCGCTCACCGCCGACAACTACGCAATTTGGAGGATCCAACTCCTCCAACAATTCACGGCAAATGGTTATGCCGGTCATCTCACCGGCATGAGTTCTTGCCCTTCCGACGAGTCCTCCTTTAAGGCGCATAAATGGCGTCTCATTGATAATAACCTTCTCTCCTCTCTCTCTTCTACGATCTCTCCCGCCATCTTACCATATGTCATCTCCTCTACCACTGCTCAAGATGTCTGACATATCCTCGAACGTCGACTGCAACCAACATGTCGTTCGCGCATCATCCAGCTCAAGAACGAGCTACATCACATTCAAATGCGCGACCTCACGATGCAACAATATCTATCTCAGGTTAAAACGATCGTTGATAACATTGCAGCATCGGGCTCCCACGTCGACACGGAGGACATCATTCTACACATTCTTAATGGCCTACCTTCAACCTATAATTCGTTCAAGGCTGCCATCCGAACCTATCCAACTTCTTTGGATCTTGATAACTTGTATTCTCTTCTTTGCAGTGAAGAGATAAATGTTCTTCAAAAACTGGCTCGCGACAACAATGCAAATGCTGGCGCAACTGCTCTCTACACGACATCCACTACTCAAAAACGTGGTCGGTCATCACGTAAATTCAACAAGAACAAGTTCTCGGTGGACAACACGGGATATTCTGCTTCTCCCACTCAACCCGTCAGTTCTCCATCCTCCAATGGACCGAGACCAACATGTCAAATTTGAAATAAATTGGGACACATTGCGTTAAATTGCTGCCACCGGAACAATCCGAAGTTCGCTCCCACCAATCCAAGATCCATACCAGTCTTTCTTGCCCAGCAAAACTCACCGTCCACTCAGGATTGGATCATAGACTCAGGAGCATCGAACCATCTGACGCCTGACATCAATGCATTGCGCCACCCGACTAACTATCAAGGACAGGAGAGCGTCTCCATGGCAAATGGCTCTCAACTCCCGGTACTTCATTCAGGCCAAGGCCTTCTCCCTCTACCGGACACGCCCCGTAAGCTCCTTCTACGTAAACTTCTTCATGTACCAAATTTATCTCACAATCTTCTTTCCGTTTCTAAGCTAACCACAGATAATCCAATTTCTATAAGTTTTGATGCTAACGACTGTGAAATTAAGGATCTCCAGGACCGAACTCCACTTCTTCGTGGGCATCTTCGTGACGGTCTGTATCATCTTCACAGTTCGACCACAACTACCACCACGGCTTTTCACGTTCGTCTCAATCAGGAGAACCTGTGGCACAAACGTCTCGGGCATCCGCATCACAACCTGCTTAAAACTCTCGTTCATACGATTCCGCAATTGGGCAGCATTTCCTCTTCTTTCTTTTGCAATTCTTGTAACATTGCCAAATGTCATAAACTACCTTTTAATAAAACTAGTTCCATTTCTGCTTCACCTTTCGATCTTGTACACTCCGACGTTTGGGGTCCATCCCCTACTCAATCCATCGACGGGTTTCGGTATTATGTAGTTTTTATAGATGACTATACAAGATTTTCATGGATGTATCTAATGAAATCTAAAAATGAAACTCTTTCTAAATTCAAAATTTTCTGTCAATTTGTGCAAACTCAGCATAACAAAACACCAAAAGTTCTTCGATCCGATGGTGGCGGTGAGTTCATCAACACCGAATTTCATTCATACCTGAATCATCTCGGGATACAAAGACACCTTACATGCCCGCACACACCTGAGCAAAATGGACTAGCTGAACGGAAGCATAGACACTTGCTGGATCTCACTCATACACTTATGCACGACTCCGGTTCTCCCGCTAAACTCTGGGCAGAGGCGATTTCAACGGCCATTACCTTATCAATCGGCTCCCCTCATCGTCGATAAATCAAGAAACGCCTTTCTATCGTCTTCATGGTCGCGCACCTGCCTATGATCATCTTCGTATCTTCGGCTGTCAATGTTTTCCCTGGCTTCGCCCCTACTCTTCCACCAAGCTCGATCCAAGATCCACCGAATGTGTTTTCATTGGCTACTCACCGTTTCAGAAAGGTTACAAATGTCTAGACATACATTCGAACAAAAGTTACATTTCCCGCCACGTTCGCTTCAATGAACTCCATTTCCCGTTCAAAAAGCAACAACAAATTCCGCACAACCAGCAACGGTCTCACGTCAATTCCATACCTCCTCTACTTCTTGTTCCAAGTTCAACAAATCAACAGTCTACACCTGGTATTTCTCAACCAAATTCCACTCAGACGAATCCCATGGCATCCTCCGACTTCACCAACATCGGCTACAGCCTCAATTCACCCACGCCTTCTACGGGTCAATCGATTAGACCTCATCCCTTGCCAATTCCCCTCTCGCATCCGATGCAGACAAGGCTAAAATACGGGATCACGAAGCCAAAAAGAATTGTATCTCTCCTTAGCACTACACCCACTCCGACCGCTCCTCTCAGCTATCATCAGGCAGTTAAACATTCCCACTGGAGGCAAGCTATGTCCGATGAATACCAAGCACTTCAGCGACAAGGAACCTGGACTCTCGTACCTGCACCACCTCACACTCCTATTCTAGGATGCAAATGGACATTCAAAACTAAGTTGCTTCCATCGGGACAAGTGGACAAATACAAAGTCCGCTTGGTAGCTTAAGGCTACGACCAACAATTCGGTATTCACTACAATGAAACCTTCAGTCCGGTAGCCAAAATGTCTACCATACGGACTCTCATCACCATTGCGGTCAATCGAAATTGGGAAACAATACAATTAGATGCCTCGAATGCTTTCCTTCACGGAGATATATCAGAAGATCTATACATGCGACAACCACAAGGTTTTATCGACATCAACAATCCTAAGCTGCTCTGCAAATTAAACAAATCCCTTTATGGACTCAAACAAGCGCCGAGAAACTGGTTTGAAAAATTCACCGGATTTCTTCAAAAATACGGGTTCAGGTCTAGTCATTCTAACTCATCTCTATTTCTCTACAATTACAACAACATTCAAATTTTTCTTCTATTATATGTCGACGACATTCTCATGACAGGAAACAATCCAGCCGCCATACGAACTCTCATCTCCGCAATGCACTCGCAATTCGCACTCAAAAATCTTGGCCCGACATCGCTATTTCTCGGTATTCAGGTCATTCGTCAATCCACTGGACTCTTCCTTACGCAACAACATTACGCGGAGAAGCTTCTCAAAGACTCAGGGCTACTTGACAGTAAACCAACGTATACTCCTACTGCACCAAAATCCAAAGTTCAGACGATGCAAACACAGCCATTCGACGATCCACCTCTCTATCGCCGCCTTGCAGGATCGTTGCAATACTTATCTATAACTCGGCCAGATATCGCCTTCGCAATCAATCAAGTTTGCCAACACATGCATCAACCTACTATTCAAGACTTCCAATCGCTCAAAAGACTGTTGAGATATATCAAAGGCACGGTAACCTTCAACATTCCCATCACCAAAGGCCCGATGATACTCAGGACATACACGGACGCCGACTGGGCGTCCGATGCCTCCGATCGGAAGTCCATCTCCGGCTTTTGCACCTTGGGACCCAACCTAATTTCTTGGTCGGTTAAAAAGCAGGTTACAGTTGCCAAATCTTCCACCGAGGCCGATTATAGATCACTATCGGCAGCAACATCTGATGTTATTTAGCTTCGCTGCCTTGTCGCAGAGCTTGATCATCCTCAGCACTCACCGACTACTATCCATTGTGACAACACGTCGGCCATCGCTCTTGCGAAGAATCCTGTTTTCCATGCGCGGACGAAACATATCGAGATAGATCATCACTTCATTCGACAACACATCAACTCCGGTGCGGTTTCGGTCACTCACATCGCCTCCGCCGATCAGCTAGAAGATCTTCTCACCAAACATCTTTCGCCCGCTCGCTTCCATGATTTATGTCACAAATTAACCATTCAAAAGTTGGATGCTTAATTTGAGGGAGGCTGTGAAGAATGACTCTTCTTATTCAATTTATTTACCGTTTTACCTTTACTTAGGCTATTTATATTCACCAATGTATTGTACTGTTTTATTGAGATAATAATATAATTTCCTTCCCCTGTTTCCGCTTTGTCCTCTTCAACCTTTCTTTCTCCCTCGGATCATCTTCTTTCAATAACAACAATGTAAAGAATGGATGAACAATTTAGAAAATAGGCATCAAGAAAATAAAATATTTAAAGTCCATCATAGAAGAAGAATGAATCAAATCTTTCAAATATTGAGAGCACTATAATAGCGAGCCAACTACAACAACTTATGGTTCAAAATATTTCAGCATTAAACTGGTTCGAAACCCATTGCATGCCGCTTTATTTTATTTTTATTGAACCAACTGGTCTAACTCTTTATTAAATCCAAAATTGGTTTATGTAAACTTTATAAATAGATCCCAAAGATTGTAATTTAATTCAATAAATAAGTTTTTTAGTTCCCCCCTTCCTATTCTTTCTTCTTCCCCTTCTTCCTTATAGAGTCCACACCTACTCAAAAGGTGCATTCCCCTTCTTGATCATGTTTCCGCAAGAAGTCTTACACATTTGTTTTTCCAACTCCTTCCACTGTAGCAATTTTTTTTCTTCTGCTTTTTCATCCACAAGGATCGTCTTCAACCCTCATTCTTGCCATAACCTTTTGTTCTAGCCACACCATATCTTCAATAAGAAACTGGTTGAAGTTTTGCTACTTTTTAAGAATCTACTACTCGTATGCCCATTCTTTTCCTTATTTCCACAATATACTATTGGAAAAACAACTATTTCATACAACAAAACCTCTAGAACAATAGTTTACCTTTTCTCGAATAGCTTGGTTGTAGTTTGTTGATTGAAAAAATTGTCTTTGGAAAGTTTTTTATTCAACCAGACATCCCTGTAATTTTCACAAAGCCCGCCCTTCAATTTTCTCCATTTTTCTTCAATCAATTTGTGTTCCGCTTCTTATTATCAAGAACTTCATCTCCCTTTGATAGCCGCCAATCTTACCACCTATCTTTAGCCGCCAATTTTTCATCTCTTCAACCAATATTTGTGTTGCCTTCAGCCTCACCAGGAACAGCTTGCCTTCAGACGTTTGCTATTTTTCCAATAACAACTCTCCATTTTAACTCAAGGTCTACCGTTAGTTGATACTCTCCAAGAATTTTTCGTCGGCCTTCCATTTTCAACATCAAGAGCCAGCAAGGGGTGCTAATCTTATCACCAAAGCCTACAGCCTTTCGACTCTCTAACTCTCTCCACCAGGCCATCATGTGAGCCATCTTTTGGCAACTCATTTCAGCATCAAGATCTAGATTTTTCTTTAAAAAAATAGTCCAATTCTTACAATTTACTCTTTCTTCTTTCAATATTATATCAAGTCACAAATCTTGTTATCAAGAATCGCATCTTTTACTCTAATTCAATAGCCATCAAAGATATGTCAATATGAAAATATAGCTTTAACTGATGCGCTATAGATAACACAAATTAATCAAGAATTATAATTCTCTAAAATAAAAATAAATCTATAAAACAAGTGAATGTTCAATTTGCCTCCATTCTCTTATCACTTTAACAATTCCACGCTTTCATGAATTCTATTGGCAAGAAACATGATATTTTGTGCATTAATTTGCCCCCATTCTCCACTCCATTAAGATCCTTCCTATTCCGCAGACATCCTTGGTCTCAGCGATATAATCTCTTCTCCACAACTGCCACAGTCTCCTACAAGTTTATCTATTATTAAATTAATGAAATTAAACTTCCTCACTTTAATGGATTATATGTCAAAGCATAGACCTTTAATGCACATGAATACTTTGATTTTTACAACACTCCTAATTATCATTGTAGTAGCATTGCTTCCATTCATCTTTAAGACATTGAGAGAACTACATTAATGGGTTGGCTATAATAACTCAACGTTCAATTTATTTTAGCATTAAGTTGGCCCAAAAACCATTGCATATTCTTTTATTTTACTTGTATTGAACCAGCTGGTCCAACCCTTTATTAAGCCCAAAACTATTTTATGTAAAAATTATAAATAGACCCAAAAGACTATAATTGGATTCAAGAAATAAGATTTTTCAGTTTCTTCATTTCTATTCTCTCTTCTTTCCCTTCTTCTTACTTAAGGAGTTCATACCTACTCAAAAAGCGTCTTCCACTTCTTGATGTAGATCAAGAAGTATAATATTTTTAGCAAAAGCTATATTTGGCATGACTAGACTATGCTAGAGGCATATCATTAAGGCTATATATCGATATTCTCCTTTTAGCTAGCCAAGAGGTAGCACATGCCTAGGGTAATCCCTAAAACTAAAAGTGAAGAGAGGAATTCTAGATTTTTTGTCTATTTGAGATTTGAGCACTTTGGGAACTTGTATTATAGATTCTTCCTAGTAGATTATTCTCTCCGTTCGTACACAAGTTCCCGTGTTGCTTTCTTAGAGTTCACCTATTAATATGATTGGTTGTCATCAACAGATAAATTTGGATCCAACAAATATTTCAAGAAAATTATATTCATATTATTCTTTAAACAAAAAACATTCTCAATAGATGGAGTCTCCTCACTGATTTGGATTCAAATTTTTGCCACTCATTTATTGAGATGTCATAAATATTGGCATAATTATTGCTCAAATTTGTAAACCATTATGGGTTGATCAGTCAACGGGTGAGTGGAGAAGAGGCTAGTATGTCAGGGTGGGTGTTAGAATGGATCTCTTTAAATAATTGCCTACAGGCATATGGATTCTAGGCCTAATCTTTTAATTCTTTCAAAAAGTGGCATATGAATTTGTTTTCCATGTTTGCTTGCAATGTGGATTTCTAGGATAGAAATATGAGATGTGCCCATTAAAACCTCTCTAATAGCCATCCTTAGTGGATCAATTGACAATTTCCTCTACTAACAAATAGTAAAGTATGCATCATGCACCTAGTTGTGATCCTATAAATGTTTCTTCTACCACTACTAGACACCACCATGATGAATTTGCACCTCACTCCATCTCGATTCCACAAATGCCCCAAATGGCCATCTTGATGCCAAAGTTTGGAACAATACTTTGGTTTATGCAAATAATGACTACCCATAAGGAGACTGCATTGGCATACTCTCTCCCAATCATGGATTCAGCCTAATCTTTGATCTTGGCTTCTAGAAGCCCCACGAACATGGCTTGATATTCTTGAATAATATGTTTTTAATGTTTTCATGCTTCCTTCTTCTAGGCACCTCAATAATTTCACACAATGATATAGGACATTATTGTATGTACTAACTCAACTTACTAATGAGAAAGATATTTAAATGGTCACATTTTATATTATGGTTGGAAGTTTTTTTTTAAAAGGTAGAATACAATCAAACCCAAAATAGAAAAAAAATACAAGGCTAAAATCATCAAATCAAAGCAAACAATAGCTAGACTCAGGAATTTATACAACCAACAAGAAATAAGATAAGGACCATCCATAGGAGGTAAAAAGTACAATCCAAGCATCAACCCACCTAAATAAATGCCACCAATCAGAACAAGAGAAAAAGCCACCAAGGTTGCATGCCAACAAGCCAGTGGAATCCAATGGTTATACATAAGGCTGCCTCATCATTGCCTAGATTAGAACCGTAAGGATCAAAACTATAAAAACAAAGTAGCCAACAGAATAAAAGGTCAGATCGGAGGCCCAAACAACAAATTAAGAACACAAGCCAATTACTTATTTTTTTACCTCCGACTATAACATTTTCCAACACCATGAAATTGAATTTTTAAGCACATTGAATAACATTCAAACTGTACTCAAGAAAAGCATGATCTTGCTCATCCAAGTCATCTCCAACATCTCTACAAGCAGAGGAGATAGACCCATTCAACGAAACAAAATGATCCATAAGACTAAGAGTGAATTTGGAAGTCAATTGATTTTTTAAGTACTCATCAGAAGAAATAAGAGCAATGGGGAGATCCACAAACAACACATTCATAATTGTTCCCAAATCATTAGCTAAACCAACATTAGATGTCAAAGAAATGGGAGCTTCAAAACTAGGCACTTCAACATTATTATCCACAAGAAAACCCATAGTAACAAGAGGATGAACATCCAAACCAAAACTAGCATCTTTATTCTCTTGTGGCACAATAAAAACCAAACCATCCAAGGGACTAGAAGTATCATAGTCCATAATTTCTATAGAATTCAAATTAAAAATGGGAGATGCTATAAGAGAAGTCATAATATTAGTCATACATGCCTCCGCTCCTATTACAACCAAAACACTCTCATTGTTAGTACAAGATTCAGCCATAGGCATAATAGAAACAAACGACAAAACATCCTCTTCAATAGGACCAACAACAGCCCCATTCTCCTTGGTAGGACCAACAACAAGCCCAGTATGCATCGACCAGCTCTAAATAAAAAACCACATCATTACCCCAATTAATGAGCACCTCATTAATAGGCGTAACATGATAATTTACACAAGCAATATTAGCATTATCCAAACCACCAGTTGTATTCCCATAAGTTGTGAGGTGATTAGACTTAATAGCACGATTGAAATCCCTCCTAATATGCCCAATACATTTACAGTGACTACAAAAGGTTGAAAATTCCTCCATGTCGACCAGCTGAATATACCTA